TTAAGCATTTAAAAGAATCAGTTGACGGCAGGCAATATGGACCATATCCTCGCACTTGATTTATGAGTCTAAGAGACACAGCCTCCCAGAGAGAATTACAGTTTAGCTACCATACTTTAGCAAAAATCATATTATCTTTTACTTACCTTGAAGTTGCCTGTTTCTCATCATTTTTTGCATAACTTTCAACGTAATGGTCCGTGTAACTATCAACATTTGAGTAACTTTCATCCAACTTTTTGGGAGGCTTGATAGGTGAACTCTTCAATGATAGAGAGTTTGTGGCAACAACCTCTGTGACATCCAGAAGATGCTGAATGAATTCACACTGACCTACATCTAAATTAGCTTGTGAGCGTTGCAATTCTAGTTGCAGCTTTTCATTTTCTTTTTTAATTGCCTCATTGATAGGTACTCTTGGGTAGGAACAAGAAAGGTTCTTCGTTAATATAATGGTATCATCTTTAGAAGGCTCTGGTTTCATAATCACTTCTTGCACCTTCATGTCCTCAGCCTCCAATGTGTATTCATGCTGGTCCCTTTCAATAAATTCCAACCTCTCCTGTCAATGTATGGAAAGCAAGATCTATCAACTTGGGATAGAATAGATAGTGGTTAGTGTGAACATAAAGTATATGTATGTATATATTCTTTCCAATTGTGAGCAGTAGCAGTCAATTTAAGCTATAATCATGCATGAGTAGATATTAAAATAAGATATTAGGTAAAGTAGCAGGTTGCTCTTATTGTAATAGATGCACTATCTTATAACCACTGCAATTTTCTCTTACTCAAACTTGATAAGAAAATCTCACCTCAAGAGGTGATTAAAGCGATTCTACCAAGATGGATGAAATAGCAAAAAAATACTACTGACCCTTGTTCATTGTAACAGATTCAAAATATCTTCAATATCCAAAAGTATACGGGCCTGCTCTCTCATTCAAATTCTGAGAAAAGATTACTTGTTCCATATCAAGAATCAACAAACATTCTATAGTTTCCATAGTAGCTTAAAGAGCTGATTGCTGTTAAAAGAACTTTTCATCATCTGTTATGCATTACAAGAAGCGGGTACATATGATATAAACCCAAAATCAAACCAAATATCAACACAACATACTTCTTCATAAGTAATTCGTATAATAACAAAGTGTTTTAGTACTTTGTGTGAATATTTATATGACACACCCAAAATCAAACCAAATACCCTATCAACCTATACTGCTTGGCACGGATCCCACACACACCCAAATCTTGTCGGATCGACAAGAGAACGACAAGGAGTTTGAAGGATCTGAATAACAGAGTATCAAAACAAGGTAATGACCTGACCAGGAGTTGAATTATGACCAATTATTCCGACTTCAAATCATGAACTTGTCAAACTCAATTATATCCCCCACCATGTCATCAACAAAAATGAGAAACAACAGATATAGATCTTAAGATGGAAGAGCAATGAAACAAACAGATAATGGAAGCATATAAAGCGGAACAGCAACACTATGGACAAAAGAGCAATGTCTCCATACCCTGACTCGAGCATTATCCACCAGAGTGATAAGAGGAATAATCTTCAAATATTGGTCAATCTCATTCTGAGCCCTACGAAACTGGTAGACAATGTTCCACCCCATAGCCAACAGATAAAGATAGCTCCTGTCCTGGCAGCTCTTGACCAATATATAAGACCTCCTTAATGCATCTTCAAGTTGTTCCAATGGCTCTCGGGTTTCCGGATACCTCTTAAGTTCAGTAATCTTGAGCTGCTCCAATAAATTTCCAATTAATTTGAGATGCTGTGCAAACTGCCTGCAATTCTTCTTGTGCATCCGGGCTGTGGTAGCAGCTTTCACAATCATCCCAATTAGCCTCACCGCATCTATGCCAGTAAGCTGGGCGACATTTGCAATTTCCCCAAAATGTTCCCATGAAGCCATATCTAAATTCCGGATTGTTCCCTCAACTCCCTCTAATTTTTCAGTTCAATAAGAAGCACATCTCCAGATCAACAGAATCAACTCCTTATAAACAGCAACTCGCTCTAAACTTTTAACAAAAATCCAAGATTTCTCCAAGTCAATATCATTAAGTAAAATTTGGAGAGAACAACATTGCCGACTTAATATAGACTTCTATAAACATCCGTTTTGCAAAATTCATCAGATTCAAGCTTGCACACATGCAGTCCCATCAAAATACACTCAAAAGCACCGATATGTGGTCAAAATGCACTCAGAAAGATTGCTTGCAACAGATCCAGCAATGGAAGTGCAGCTACCAGTATTGAGCTGCAATGGAAGCTCAAAAGAATGAGGGAACGAGATATCAAAAATACTCTAAGATTCTATTATACCTCTTCAATTTCCTTTTCGACAAAAATGATAAAGGCAATAAAAGAGCAAATAATAAAGGAAATATGTCGTTTGACTCGTCTTTTGAATATTGAGAAACTACCGGGATAACAAAATGGAAAGGAAATTAACATATTTTTAGTAGAACTCCATTAAAAGTGCAACAACATTACCAGAATTAACGGTGACGCCGTCACCTCACTGTACTCCACCGCAATCCCGTGGTCCTTTCAGCATTCCTTGCAAGCTAAACCTATAATGGAATTAAAATCACAATTTACACA